CGGGGGGAGGGAGGGCGGCACTTCCGGTCTGCCCCCTCCCCCTTCCCCCTCCAGAGCCCTCCCGCGCAGGTGCAGAGCGAGGGAGCGCGCGGGGAGAGGGACACACAACATCCCGAGACGCCAGAGACCGCGTGCAGCAGGGACGCGCGCCCGAGCCCCACTTGCAAGGCAGGGACCTCACGGGAGACCGAGGCCCCAGGAGGGCAAGCACAGCCCACCACCACAGACCGAAACACAGTATGGGATGCCACCAGAGGAAGGCCAGGACCTTCCAGAGCGGCCGGGCCCAGCCCTCCCCGCTAAAGTGGCCCTGGCCAGGGACGCGAGCGCCGCACTCACAGGGGAGCGCGGACCCCCGGCCTGCACGGGGAGAGCGGGTGGCAACGCCAGGAAGGAGGTACACGCAGGAGGAGGGCCCAGCTCCAGCGGGACGGATGCTGGGGGCACCCAGGCCAGGACGCTGCAGACAAGGTCGGGGGCGCAGGGAAGACAGGAGAAGGAAGGGGTCAGACAAGCAGCAGCACGGGGAGCTCAGGAGGGGAGAAGGGCAACAAGCGAACAGGAGGACTTGCAGCCCAGAGGGTGGCAATCGGCTGGTGGAACGAGGAACCCCCAGACCCAGGCGAGGAGACACCCAAAGACTAGACAGAGACAAGAAACCGAGGCCGGCAGGGGACTCGGGGTGAGGGGACCTCGATACTCACCCAGGGCGAGAGCCGGAAACAAACACGCACTAGTGCCAGGTGAATGCGCACTAACGGCCAAGGGGCTCGGACCCTCGGGGCTTAGGTGGCACCACAGCCCCACCTCTCTCCCCGTGTTCTTATTTCTCTCCCCTCCTCTCCCCCACCCGTCTCCACTGGCCAGAACACAGACACATAGGTTTGGACACATTTAATGGAAGGATGCTAAGAACAAGGGGGGGTCCCTTTCCTGGATTGGGGGGCGGCGAGGAGGGTGTCATCTTTCGGACACCGAATTAAGGCCCTCCCGTTCCCCCGCAGTGAGTCCCACCGCTCGGCCCTCCGGAAACCCAAGCCCGCCGGCCTCCCCTCCCCCAGCATTCCAGGTCCTGAGCGCCAGAGCTGGAGGGACGCAGAGGCACACTCGGACATGCGCAGAGGGACAGGCGCGGAGACAGCCACCTGCGCACGTGTGAGCAGACACACGAGCTCTGGCAGGGCCGTCTACAGACACAGAAGCACAGACGTGCACACTAGCTCCACGGTACATGGACAACACGCCTGCGTCTACTGCCCGGGACAGAGCCTGGGGTTGCGATGTCCGACCCAGGAATTTCTAGCCACACATGCACCAGATGCGCATCATGCCCACCCGCTGAGACGCACATTCACGCGTGCGGCCTCCACGGCCCCCCCCGCACACGTACACGCACCCCAGGCACCCCTCCTTCCCATCCGGACCCGCCCCTCTCACCTCCCTGGGCCAATCCCATCCATCAAGCTTCGGAAGCGAGTCAGCCAGCAGCCAGGCAGGGGAGAGGCGTCAGTGTACCCTTCCGCCCACCCTGTCCTGCCCCGCCCCGCCCCCCTGCCTGCCCGCACACCAGAGCAAGGCACGGGGTGCACACGCACTTCAGCTGCGTGGAACCACACAGACAAGGACCCCCCTACCCGGACCCCCCATTAGTCTTGGCTTCCCCAAAGCTGGCCTGCCTCAGTGGCTGCCAAGGACGGTTTGGGGTTGGGCTGTGTTGTCTGAAGCTAACTCTGCCTCTTTCCACCCTTTCAATCCCTTCAGATTTTGAAAGACAAGAAAGGGGAAAGGGGGATTGGATGGGCTGGTCATATTGAATGTGTGTGATGTGAAGGGCAGCTTGGGCGGTGGGGCTCCAGAGGAGGTAAGGACATTTACCTTGGGGCATCAAAGCTGTCGTAGGAGCCTACAGTATAATGTCGGAAGAGTCTCTTTGCCTTGTCGCTGCGGCTTTCTGCAGAGGGACAATGGACAAACTTGGACCAACCTTTTGGAAACCACAAACACAAGTCTCCCATCCACAACCCACACCCCACCCGCATCGGGAGAGAGAAAGAAAGGGCCATGAGCATTCCAGGGTGTGCCGGGCTCCTCCTCACCTTGCTTTCCCTCCTGGGAGCGGTTTGCCACCTCTTCCAGGCAGTCGGAGGGGAACCAGCCTATGCGACCTTTGACCTGGCCTTCCCAGAAGCCTCCTTCCCCGATGCTGAGCACTGGAGGGCGGACATGGGAATGTTTGCAGGTTTCTGTGTTGCTCCCCAGCCCCCACGCCTGATGCCCAGCCTTCCCCGAAATTCCCAGCGTATGTGGCCTGAGGGCATTCTTAAGCCTAAGAGGATGGTGGAGAACCACGTTTTGTCACTCTCCAGTTTGCGCTCGTGGACCCGATGGGGACGTGGGAGAAAAGGACTGTGTCCCATGACATGGTCTGCCCAGGCCAGGGGCGGGTCCAGAGCGGTTCCTATCACCTCTGGTCACTGGCCACAGCCCCCCTAGGGCGGCCTCTCTCTCTTCCACCTCTCAGGCTCTCCTGGCTCTGGTGGGGGAAAGGAGATTAGAGTGGCCTCCTTCCTTCAACTGGAGGCCACTTCCAACCAGTCCCGCCCGCCCCTCCCGTGCCTGGTGTTGAAGTAGAGAGAGGGGTGATGGGAAAGTAAGTGTTCACCAGCCCTCACTCTGGGCCAGAACCCTGTGAGGAGCGCCTGTATTCTCCCTGTTTTGCTGAAGAGGAAAGCAAGGCTCAGAGAGCTGGTGTCAGCCGCGCAGGGTCAGGGGTGCACAGCGGGAGGGGCCGCATCTGCACCTAGGCAGTCCTACAGCTAGTGCTGTATACTAATGTGTGGCTCGCTTTTCATCCGAGGGCCTTCTGCCTCCACTGGGAACAGTGACACACACAGTCTTCCATGTGTCCAGCATTTTTCAGAGTGCCACCATTCAGCCCTTCACATAAGAGATGTGATCAAAATATGCGCCATGTTCAAAAGTTTTCTTACAGTAAGAGACGCATCACCACGAACACCCCCCAGAATACTCCTCCTCGCTGAGGGCCACTTCTCCCATCGCCCTTGCCACTTCCAGAGGCAGCTCTGGAAGCCTTCTCTCCCGGGTGTCTTTATAAGGTGCCGTCAAAAATACAGCCAATGCTGCTGTTCAGAGCCATTCGGTGGAAAGGCGGGCGGGCAAAAACATCACGGTGTGTCCTCACCACCTTATTCATCGCATCTGGCACCACGAGGCTTCTGGCTCTTCCCCAAAATCAAAACAGCAATAAAAGGTCAACCATTTGAATCCGTTCAGGACACTGAGGCTGCCTGAGCACAACCAGACTCTCACGAAAGAGGACTCCAGAGCTGCTGCAGGAAGTGGCAAGAACAGTGGGCTAAGTGTGCTCAAGGTGAGGGCATGTTTGGCTGGGGACACAGGCCAATGTGTCATACGTTTTATTTAAACATTCAACTTATTCTTTGATCACACCTCAAACACCCCCCCACTCCAGTCTGGGGTAGGGAACAACTGGTTCCCATTGAAGCTGAAGGTAACAGAAAAGTTCCTGCCTGGGAGCTGACTGGTGGCCACCAGATGCTGTTCGCTATACAAACTGGCTCTCTGGGGACTCAGGATGGGAAGCCCAGGGTCAAGGTCGCAAGCAGGAGATGGGCTGGCCAGGAGTCTCTCACTGGCCCACTGAACAAGCACTTCTGTAATGCTGATCGTGATGAGGGAGGAGGGTCGGCTGTGGTGAGTGCAGCCAGCTCACAGAGCAGAGGGACTGCAGGATCAGAAACCACGGCTGCCGCTCACAGGGAAGGAACAGGGTGTCTGGGGAGAGGCCCGATGGGAGCGCAGAAGCCAGGCAGCGAAGGGGTGCAGGGTCCCTGAGGGTGCCACATGCAAGCTGGGAGCTGCGGACACAGAGAGCGAGGAGGGGCTGCTCAGGCAGGAGCAGGGTGCGGCCAAAGGCTGGAGAGTGACATGGGCTGTCTGAGGAGTGGCACGGACATGAGGGCCCCAAGCTTGGTGGGTGAAGAGAAGCGAGAAGACAGGGTGCTTGATCCTGCGAGGGGCGGGAGCCCTGGGACGCCACTGACTGGAGACCGCCTCCTACCAGTCCCACCTCCTAGTTACCCTCTGAGGTAGTTAAGTCCTTCGTCATGGAGGACAGGGATATAAAACCCAGGGCAGCCCACAGCACACACCTGTAATCCCACCACTCTGGGAGGCTGAGTCAGGAGGATCTCAAGTTTGAACCCAGTCTGGGCAACTTAAGAGACTCACCAAGACCTGTCTCAAAATGTTTTTAAAAAGGAAAAGCACTAGGGATGCAGCTCATTGTAGAGGCCCAGGGTTTCATCTCTAGCAGTGCCCCCCCAAAAAAAAAATTCCAAGAGGGCAGTGTGTCCTTTTCCTGTAGAAAAACAATGGCAAGTACTATGGGACCTCACACTGACCTCAGTTTCCCTTTTTTCTCTCCTCTCCCCGCTCCACCCGCCAGGCTGCCTGGCAGTGATGGAGCTGTACCGCCCCCACAGGTGGCATCTGTACTCAGCCCTTCTCTCATCCGCTGGGCATCTGGCTGATCATTCAGTCATTCTGTAGTTGTGCCCTGGTGACCCAGAGACCAATGCCTGTGACCTCATCGCCTTCAGGAACTCAGGCTACCAGAAGACCCTCTGCCCTCTGAGTACTGGCTGAGGCCCCCCTCACACTGTCTCCCAGGTGGGACCCTCCCTGCTGGCCGGGCCCCCGGAGCAGGGCTGGCCCTCAGGCATGGCCTGTTGGTAGAAAGCATGGGTCCGTGCTTTTCACACCTCATGGTCTTCACAAGGCTCTCACTTTCCAGATGAGGAAACTGAGGCCCGGAGAAGTGACTTGCCTGGGGCCACCCCAGTAGGAAGAGCTGGCGCCAGGCTTTGAACCCAGGCCGGTGGTTCTCAGCTGCTACACTGCTCGGCCCTGGGCAGGGACAGTCTGGTGCAGGATGGTTCTTCCACTGGAACCAACTACAGTGCCCCTCCCCACCCAACAGTGCTCACTCGGGGATGACCCCAAGTGTGGCAAGTTCTATGGGTAACACTGGGAGGGGAGAGCGGACCAGCTCCTGGGGCTGCAGGGTGAGAACCTCGGTGAGAACCCAGCCGAGGCAGATGCAAGGCGGGGCTCTCGGGTTCATGCTCCATGCAGGGAGCAGGAAGCCCGGCTCACACTAGGGACCCTGGGCAGGCTGCTGCACGAATGGCCTTGCTCTTAACTGCAGGGCTCGGGACATCCTCCCGAGAGGGCCAGCGGGGTGAAATGCCCCACCTGGCCAGCACCTGTCAGCGTCCTGAGAGTCCTAGTGTCCCCTCCACCACCTGTGTTCCCTCAGCTACACTTTCGGCCCCTCCGAGGGGTCTCTGATGCCCGAGGCTCGGCTCCTGGACACCTCCTCCCAAGCGTGGGGCTTGCCTGGCCGTTTAGCCCCTTCCACCCTGCCCAGTTACCTTTGATCTTCTCGCCCTTGCTCAGGGAGATCTCGCCCTCTCCTTGGGCCTGGTACGACTTCACAGCCATGAAGGAGCGGCCAGGAACTGCTGAGTAGAGCTTCCTCCTTCGGCCTCGGCTGCCCAGGGAGCCCCCAGGGCCCCCGGAGCCCCCTGTGCCTCCGGCGGGCCCTTCCCGGGGCGTCCCGCTGGAGCTGTGAACACGGGGCGTATGAGAGGTGGGCGGAGAGGAGGGAAAGGCACCTGTGGGAGAAGGGGTCCTCGGCAGGGAGGGCAGTGAGTGGGGTTCCTGGCTCTGGCATCCTGGGGAAGAGCGGGGGCATTTGGGGGCTCCCTCTGCAGGCCCGCTGCTGCCCCCAGCCCCCTCTCCTGCCTCTGGGCTTCCGGCTCTGCCCCCTCCCACGGTCCTGCACACACCACCTGATTCCGTTTCCTAAGGCAGAGCTGGGGCTGTGTCATCCCCTGTCTCGAGAGCTTCAGACTCCCAGCTTCCACCTGGGTCCGGTCCAAGTCCTCTGCGACCATCCCGAGCCTCCCCTGCTTCCTCAGACACCTCTGGCCAGCCCTGTTCTCCTGTAGTCAGGCTGGGCTCCCTACCCCAGGAGGGCCCTGAACGCCTCCCCTGATTCACCCTCAAGACTGGACAGCCCTCCCACAGCTTGGCCCTCACGCCCACCTTCCTCCAGCCTCTCCCTGCCTCTCTATCAGTCTGCAGGGGCTGGAACTGACACTTCTGGGGGTCCCCCACCCCTACACCCCTGCCATGCAGTGACACATTTGGGGACAGCGTGGGACGGACTCTCACAATGCCCTTGTGTTGTGCAGGGGACAAGTGGGGACAAGGGACCTACTGCCAGTTCAGGGCAGCAGGTGTGTGGCCTCAAGGGCAGGTCAGTCTGGGGGCCGGGGCCAAGCCCTCCTTCCTACCTGGGCCGTCCTCGGGGCTGCCTCTTGGTGTCCTCGGGGTGCCGCCCTCGGGATGGGGAGCGGGCCCGGGCGCCCCGGGGACTGCTGGCACTTCGGAGGGTCCCGCTGCTGAGCTTGG